CACGCGAAATGTACGCTAATTGTTTAGAACCCCACCCGTCCACTTTCCGAAACTGCCCAAAATACATTCAGCATAAAGAAATTCTGAAAATAAAAGCCATAAAAAAATTTACCATATTCGAGGCCAGACGTACATATCGACAACAAAATCCAATAGTTCCCAATAGTCAACCTTACTCTACAATACTCAAAAATAACAAGAAAAACCAAGAAAACAACGAAGAAAGTCACGCCACTTTATCAAACAACAACATCAGCTCTAATAGATGGTGGAATAATAACAAGGTGTTGTCAGTAGCGACGTGTTTGTCGTAATTTTGAGAAGATCAGCATGCTTATTTTCAGTGCTGCCGATCTTAATTTTTATACTACTATTCGTTGGGAAAAAGTATCTAAAATATTCCATTTTAGTAATTCGTTTATCGCGATTTTTAAAGAACTTGGTGTTTTCAGAACGATATTAATATTTAAAATTGATGGATTTGTACAATTTTTGTCCTCAAAATGGAAAAAAATAAAAGATATCGTGGTTATCAATGGAAAAATATGTACACAAAAATCGTATGGAAAGGCGATTTTTTATATTAAATAACTTTTGCTGAATTGCAATAATATTGAGCCAAATGGACTACTGATACATTGGAATAGAGTGGCTGCATGGTTAAATTGGGAATTTCCTTATATTATCGATATTTATGTGTTTTAATCTATTTAAATAGTCATTTACAGTCTTATAGGAAATTGCCTTATTTTACGGTCTTTACCCTTTAAAAGTTACAATATATGTCCAAGCTATGAAGAGCTGCTGATACAAACATATATTCAGGCTTATAAGCCTGTACATTTGTCTACATTTAATTTGAAATAGTATGCGCCAACGGATTATAAGTAGTAAATAATTAGTACCCTTTATACTACTATAAAATGCGTGGCCGGAATAGACCTGCCGAAAAAGTGAGGTTAAGTTACTGACAACACCTTGTTATTAATCCACCATGGCTCTAATCTAGTAAAACAACAAGCTTGTTAAACTATCCAAGAACACGTTCCAAACACTCTCACAGCCTCTGAAAAGTTTCATCCACAAAAACATAACCTAAGCATCAACATCAATAGTAACTTAATTAACCCACAGCGACAACCATCTGAAACTGCTCAAAGTCAAACTCTAACCTCTCGCACAATCGCCGAGAAATAGCTTACACAAAACCACAAAAAAAAACTACAGCAACCTTCAATCTTCCAACAACAGCACATTGACCCAAACAAGCACAAGCTCAAATTCAACTTTAAATCTCACTGATCCGATTCCCACTCAATATAGTACAAACACATTTTCAACTCCAAACCTCACAAACACTTCCCACTTGCTAAAGAGCACAACCTCTTACTCAAATCTCCAAAATAACAAAACTTCAAAAATAAATAAAAGNTTTTACTTACATTTATTTAACTTTAAAAATCTTAACCACCTCCAAGCGGCCTCGAACCTGCGATTTCAGAACCAGAACCAGTAGTCTTCACGTGACGCCACAGCCGACACTTGTAAGAAAAGCAATTAATTGCGTTTTATTTTTGACTTTGGCAATTCAAAGGCAGATGTCGCTGATCGCCTAATTCTTCGAAATTGTCGAACTGGTAGGCACATACTAGTTAATGAACTAGTATTTTTTCTAACTGGTTTGGCTTTTCACTGCAGGGTAATTATGGTCCTTTACATTCTCCAGTGGAATATTAAAGGCTATCTAAATAATTGCACTGAAATCGAGATGCCTTCTATAGTGATAGCAAAATAATTTTTGTATGTTGAGAAAGCCAAATTTTTGGACACGTGGTACAGATAAAAGTCTATTCTTTTGTACAACTCGTGTGAACAATTACACGCAAGTTAAAATTTAAAAAAATATACAAATATTTTATCTGCCACTTGATGACAAATGTAACAGGCAAATGAGCACAAAAGAAAAAGTAATATCATCCCTGACTTATAACATCTGGGCTGGGCGGACTGCCTTCTTTCGTTAACTTAAAAATCCTTCAAGTTTTTATAAATTAAAATCATTATAAATTAAATAATATATCATCATGTTGATAATTTTATGAATTATATTTCATAGAATGAAATTGATGATAGTTTGTTAATTTATATCTTCTACGTCAAAAAGTTGATTTTTGATTAGGTCAAAATCACTGACATCAAAAACTGTCTTCATCTGACAGCTATTCATTTGGTGTCAAATGCGTTTTCATTAAATCTTAAAAACTGACCAAATATCGATATCGCAGTGCATGTCAAAGACTGTCGTCAAATTTCGGTGTCAGGTGATTGACATTCCGTTTTCATTACTGATGTCAAATGTGGAGTTAACTTTTTACAAAAAGTATAGAATACCGGCCTCTTAGCTATAGAGAGGTCAAACATGTAAAACTCTTCATGCTGATTTCAACCTTACCAAAATTATTTAGCGCAAGTAAAAAATTAAAAAGATATAGGAGGTTAAGTTACATTTTTCGATATATTAAATTTTAGTAATTAAAATATCAATATATGCAGTTCACATAACCAAGTAAACACCTAATGTCAAAATAAATATGACTAGTTTATCTTTCAGCTGATGTACATCATTTTTATGATTTTTTATATTTTTAAGTTGAAAATACCAAAAAAAAATAAATTTTTTTCATAAAATTAACCTTTTTTAAGAAAATTGCATAATTAATGCTGAAGAAATGTATATTATTTAGAAAGTACACGTTATTACCTTATATAGAAAGGTTTTTATAAGGCAAATTTTAAAGAAAGTAGTAATAAAAATCGAAATTTTATATATATTTTCTTTAAATGGCGTTTACCTAAAATTTGTTTTACAAATGGTTACAGTAAATACGTCGTAAAAAAGGTAAGTAAATTATCTTTGAATTTGCATCAATACTTTTCTAATCGGTCAAGTAGTTTCCGAGATATTAAACATATAAAAAATAGGAAAGTTTAATTTTAACCTGTTATATTTTCTTTGTTTTTTACTTGCCCCAAATAATTTCTGTATGGTTGAAATCAGCGTAAAAAGTTCTATCGATCTACATTTATGGCTTTTTTGTAGCTAAACGGTCAGTATTGTAGCTAGAGAATCACATTGCAAACGAAATCAAAATTGCCAACATGTTGGCAAATACATTTTGGTTGTGAAATGCTGCCACATCTGCGACGAGGGCCGTTTTCACTTGGCTTTCATTTTATATGAACGTGAGTGGTGATATATGTATGACAACAAATGGCATTTTTTCGAAAGCCGGTTTTCGTGTTACTCGAAAAATGGCTATTTGAAAAAAACCGGTTCCCCATTTTAAAATTAAGAAAAAAACTGATTTTATTTTACATATATATCCTCTATAGTGACACTTTCTGTTAGTCAAAAATCATCACCAAAATTACAATACGACTATTAAAACTAGGTATTTTTATGTATACGATTTTCGTTCGTGTTTCCTTTTATATATTAAGTAATTTTCTGCAGTGAAAATTTTCCAGTATTCAGATATAAAATTAATAAAAACGTTCAAGTTCCATTTTCAATGGAATCAATATTCATACGACGTAGCTGTTTAGCTCTACTGCTACGAAACGTCTTGCAACTGTTGAACCCAACAATTTCGTCTTACAGCCCTATTCGCGTGCAATGACAAAACTCGCCGCTATAACTATTGTCATGTTTTTATTCAATTGTCACGTTCAGGTGTGCAGAGGGCAATTTGAAAGCTCCAACGGTGACAATTGCTATTATTTTTGTGATGACTTATTGAGTAGGTGACAACGCTAAAACATATGTTTATATTTTAAATTTTTTTAATTTTGCAGAAAAAAGTTGCAAAATTTTACTAAATGAAAACTATGAAGCCATTTTATTAGCCTAAAAGTTATTACTTGCGTATGCATATCACAATAGTATCCATTGCAGAATATTATTTATGGAGGAAATAATTATTATGTACGCGGCTATTATTGTGAAGCAAGAAGTAATAAGAAGAAGATTTCTGAGGGAACTCAGAGACAACAGTTTTTTTGGACAGTTTTTACACGTTTGTAGTTCGGGTTAACTTCACAAAACTGTAGCTGCTCTTGTGTGGTGCATTCATATTTTCCACGCCTGTTACTTCACGAATTCATAATAAAATGAAATAAATTTTCCTATCATAAAATTACTCACTTTTCCGGCGTTCCGTAATCCATTGTGTGTATTTTATTTAAAAGAAATCCCGTCTACTGCAGTGGCGGTCAGAAAGAACAATTAAAATGTAAACAAAGAACAGCTGTTTCACTATGAGAAACTTTCGCCGCAATTGGTAAATAAAACGAGCTTTTCGCTTGTCATTATTGACTGTGCATAAACAGTGTATAATTATAAAGCAAACTCCTTAATAAACATATATTTAGAAACGTAGTGTTATTATAAAATATTTCAGTTACTTTATCAGATCAGTAATATAAAATTGGATAAATTCGTTTGCAGCTTCCACCTAACGAAGCGGCGTTACATTTAATATAAACTTCGTAAGTCTTTTCGATCAGCTTAACAGGTTAAGGACAGGAAGCGAAAAAATGTTGCGATGGAAAAAATGGCGGAAAGTTGACAACTGTTGAACTGAGCGGAACTACTCAACTGTGCGTTTCAAAGCCAACCAGTCAACGGTTAGACAACAGCTACGTCTTATGAACGCGCCCAATGAAACCGGGCATTATTTTTATAAATGTATAACTGTGGTTTAAGTATCGACTATTATTTTGAAAGACAAACATTCAAAAAAATAAAGTAAATAAAATACAATTTTTAAGTTTCAATTTATAGTCGTATGATAACAATCGACCTCCTCTAAAATCTACCACATTTTTGTGGATCTACCGTTTAATAGAAATATATGTGGGAACACTGCTGGCCACTCTTATCACATCTCTGTGTTTACGTGTAAAGCAAAAACACAAATGTCATTTCGTTTGAGAAATAAATACACAAATGTCTTTTCGAGAGCAAAATTCTCAATTTTCGGTAACTAATTGAATTTTTTCCATATTTTGTTATCAAATGATGTTAAAAGTTTTCATTTTTACAGATACCAGATATGGAAATGGATGAAGAATTATTTAATTTATTTGCTGCTGTGTTTTCCGAAGAGAATACACAACTGTCTACGCAGACATCAACACCTGAAATAAGACAAAGGAAAAGACTTCATGTCGTACAATGGACCACGGAGGATACACTTACCTTGATTTCGGCAGTTGAAAGCCATCCTTGTGTCTGGGAATATTCCTCACCAGAATATAAAGATCGCCAAAAAAGGGACAGTGCTTGGCGAAATATAGCAGAAAGTTTTGGAAGTCGCAACGTGGAAGAGTGTAAGGCGAAATGGGCCAACATTAAAACGGCCTATAATAGTGTTAAAAAAAAGTTAAATCAACTAAATCTGGTCAAGGTGTAAACGAAAAACCACATTGGCCTTTTTGGACTGCTATGAGTTTTTATTTCCGCCATGATTATGCCAAAACAACAGAGTCAGTAACAAATATTGAACATGAAGATTCGCTTAATAGCTCAGCATCAAACACGGCAGGGGGAACTTTACCTAAGGATCCTCCAGCACTTAGTTCCAACCAAGCAACGAAAACGCCCGACGAACATTTGAAATGTGCTGTTGAATTGCTGAACAACAACACAGAAGACCGATGGATACGGTGACCATAAATATATTTTGAAAATGCAGGACAATTTTTCAAAAAATTTACCTACATTAATTGCGTAGTATAAAAATAACAAAGATATACTACATATAATCATTCCTCGTCATTTGAATAGCGCACCCTTTTTCTGATTTTCTACCATACAAAGTATGCGTGACAAATTTTTATATGGAAGAAAATGCGTAGCACCGTCAAAAAAAATTGTCGCCCCTATGTTTATTTTTTTTTANGGTAATAAAATTCAATGATTTGCAAGCGTTGCTCGTTAGTAAGTCTATTCATGATGAAATGTCAAAGCATACTGAGCATCTTTCTCCTTGACACCATGTCTGAAATCCCACGTGATCTGTCAAATACTAATGCATGAAAATCCTAACCTCAAAAAAATCACCCGTTATTAATCTTTTAGTAATGAATATTTACAAAATTATGTTAATTCATATTACATATTACTTTACACAAAATATGAACCTCTGCAAAGCAAATTTTTTAGGCAAACTGGTCGTTGGGTCGTTGAACACGAAAAAAATACCCATGGTTTCAAAGAAGTGTTTTCGAGATTTGTTTGAATAAAGGTATTTTTAGTACGTTTTCAGTTATTCCTCAATATCTCATGAAACGACCAACAGTTCGAAAGGTATTGATGGGCTCTTTACAAAAATATATATTTTTTGTGCAGATTGTGTTCCGTAATATCTACATTTCTCATCAGACTTTCATTTACTGTAAAAAGAAAATTATTGAAATTTAACTTTTTCGATTTTGGTCGCTTGTAACACTAATAATTTTCATCGAAATCGGCAAAGTAATATATTTTTGTAAGAGGACTGTAGGTAGCTTATGTTGATTGTATAATTTTTTCATGAGATATTGACGAATAGGTTCGAAATGTACCAAAAACACGTTTTTCGAAAATATTACTCACGCTGGTTTGGAAGGAAAATTGGCTTGGAAATTTTTTTTTCTTAAGCGGNTCATCGAAATCGGCAAAGTAATATATTTTTGTAAGAGGACTGTAGGTAGCTTATGTTGATTGTATAATTTTTTCATGAGATATTGACGAATAGGTTCGAAATGTACCAAAAACACGTTTTTCGAAAATATTACTCACGCTGGTTTGGAAGGAAAATTGGCTTGAAAATTTTTTTTTCTTAAGCGGTTACCACAAAATTTGTAGAACAGTGTTATCGATATATTTGATGCTGGTCTTCAATTTCTCGTCATCCATTGTCCATAACCGTACAATATTTAGAACGCGTTGACTAGTTGAACCTTCAAAACCAGTTTACCCTTATGTATTTATCAATTAGTTATCGACACTGTTTTTTATTTCGATTAGGAAAAATTAATTTTAAAATATCGAAGAAAATGCGGGACAAAGGCAGGACACGTGGAAAAAATCAGTACATTTTGGGGGTTTTCTGTTTTGAGAATTGTTTTTTGAAATCAATAAAATAAATATGTGAAAAATTGCTTTGAAATATTTATTTACATTTATCTATACTAATAGTATGTATATATTTTGAAAGCCGTTTTTTTTCTGTTCGCAAAGCTCAAGATCGGCTGTACCGATTTTTTTGAAGTTTCGGTTATAGGTTCTGGATGGGCTTCTCATTGTCTTAGGCAAAAAAAATTTAAATACTTCCCTAAAAATGGATCTGCAGGACTTTAAAAATCCTATGAATCTAACATACATGCCCACATATCAGCGCTGTTCAGCGCTGAGAGCGCCCTCTGCTGTTAATTCGCACGGAATACAGCGCAAAGCAAGGGTTATGTTGATTCTTAGGTAAAAAAAAAAACAAATATGTACAGTTGTCCACAAAATAATAGGAGTGGGATATTTTAACCTGTTTTGGCTATTTGTCTTTAGTTTATTTAATGTTTCGTATTTTTTTGTAAAAGCCTAGCTGGTAAAACAACAAACACCATATAAATTTTCATTTTCAAGTTTGTACAAAAATTATAAAAATTCTGCAAATTTTCACAAAAATTTCAAACTATTTAACCAGAATCTTTAGAAAATATGTTGGTATGCAGTTTTGTAGCCCATTCAATTCTAGTCTGAAGAAGTGCAAGTTTCAAGCTGCTAAAAAATTCCGTTGATTTTTGAGAATTTTTTCGGTTGAAGGTGTTTCACGTTTTTTCCATACAAAGTATGTTCGACAATCTTCTTTTATATGGGGACAGTGCCAGCAAAAAAAATTGCCAAAAATCAACGGAATTTTTTAGCAGCTTGAAACTTGCACTTCTTCAGACTAGAATTGAATGGGCTATAAAACTGCATACCAGAATTTTCTCTGAAGATTCTGATTAAAAAGTTTGATATTTTGGTGAAAATTTACAGAATTTTAATAATTTTTGTACAAAGGTTGAAATCTTAATTTATTCGTTGTTTGTTGTATACCCAGCTTGACTTTTGTATAAAAATAATAAACATTAAATAAAGAAAAGACAAATAGCAAAAACTGACCAAAATAACGCACTCCTATTATTTTGTGGACCACTGTATGTACAGTTCATGGAGAAATAATGTAGGCTATTATGTATGTAGAGTCGTTTATTTTGACACAAGGAGCAACTAACATTGCTGTTAGCACTTAGATTTGTATATGCATATTTATGTACATACATATCCTTATCCTTACTAATATTATAAATCCGAAAGTGAGTTTGTTTGTTTGCTACGCTTTCACGCTTTAACTATTCAACCGATCATCATGAAATTTTGTACTCTCCTGTCATGTAGACTAACTTAAAATATAGGATACATTTAATCTCGAGTAGACTAGGGTTGCCAGATTTTTTATGCGCGAAATCAGTACATTAGACTTTTTCATGCTAAAAAAATCAGTACTTTTAGTACATTTTTATTCAAAGCAAAATTATGAATGTAAGTAACAGAAAATAATTTATATATTTTGGTATATAAATAAAATATAGTTCATAAAAAATAAAAGTGTTATTCATTTTAACATGAGTATACACATCATTATACACAGGAGCCAATAAATTATTTTATATTTGTGACATTCTGAATAGCAATAACACTGTACGGCAAAATCAACTTTATTTCTGGTATTGGACCAAACCAATTTTTTTTAAGAGATTGAGTCATAGGTAAAAAAGTAATTTCTCCGTTTTTCGAAGTTAGCCTCCGAAATCGAGATATGGGCCTTCGAAGTTCGAAATTGGACCTTTTGTAAAAAATTATTTTTAAATACTGCATGTAAACTACTAAAAAAAGTAAAAACATAGTCGTTGTACGCCTTTTTCTCTTATTTAAACGATATATAACTTTTTCTTTGTTACAGGTGCTATAAAGGGGTTAAAGGTTCGAAAAATTAAAAACCTTATATTTCAAACAAGTTTAAACTGATTTTTAAAAAATTTATTTATTTATTTCTTCTGATATGCAATTTGTATACTTCGTATTTATGAATCTGAGAAAAAACATTTAAAAGGAAAAAATACCTTTTTTTATAAAAAAAATATTTTAAACAAAAACGCCATACGGGTTCAGTATTAGCTCTTAAAATATAAAAATGTTATTCATTTTAACATAAGTGTACACATCATCGTACACAGGAGCCAATAAATTATTTTATATTTATGATATTTTTGAATAGCAATAATGAGATTATTCCCATTTTCAGTGTTTAAATAGTCAAAGAATTCTATACATTTCATTTTAAAATTACCTTTAATTTGAAGTTAACTTTCAAAAATTTTAATTAGAAGCCGGTTTCTCTCTTTGCGCCAGGAAACAAACTTTATTCTTAAGATCCTCTCATACTGTAAAAAAGTACCAATTTTTAAGGAGTTCATCTATATTTCCTCATGGCTTAAATAATTTTTCAACTACGCAGAAACTGTGAAAGACTAAGAATTCGCTAAAAAGAGTATCTAACTCTATGTCTTGTATGCAAAACTCTTTTACAGAGTCAGTAAATTGAGAAAAAGGAGTTGTAAGTTATAGGCAAAAGCCATTCGAATATTGAAATCTATTGTTATTAAACTGAAAGTTATTTTCGAGATAACTAACAACACTCGACAAAAGTGTAAGCCTTCTTTTTAAATAATTTAAGCCCCATCATATTATCGCAACTGGTACGTAACGACCCGGCGATATGCCCAAAAAACGATTAATCTTTTTGTTGTATTGATTTCTTGGGCAAATCAAACATTATCTAAAACATGTCAACTATAATTAAATTATATTCTTCTTATTTTTTACAGTACAGTTTAAGGAAGTTCCAACGTTATGTAAAAACCTTAAGAAAATACTAAAGTATTTTGTTAGAATAGAAAATTCAGTACAAATCAGTACAAATTTTGAAAAATCAGGACATTAGCGTACAGATTGAAGAAATGAATAAAATCAGTACAAGAGTTGAAAAATCAGTACTGTACTGATAAAATCAGCACGTCTGGCAACCGTAGATTAGACAAGGGGGCGTGGCAACTCTTCTCTACTAATGGATGAGGGCTGCCACCTTTAAAAAAAATCTAATTCAACTTCAATTAAGGAAGTTATTTACTTGAAAATTATATTAAAAAAATGAATGTCAAGAGGCTTTAAAAAGCTGTAGGTTAATATATTTTGAAAAGGGTTGCCACCTGATTGAAAAGTGAAATTTAAATTAATTATACGCAAGCCATCTGAAGAATTAAAATATGGTTGTCAAACAAAATATTGTTAAGGAACCTTTAGTTTTAAAGTTTTGAATAATAATATTCA